GGCGGATCCAGTCAGCCAGACACCCCCCTCTCTGCGCTCGGTCTCCCTCCCGCGCCTGTCTGCGTGCGCGCGCCTGTCTGCGTGCGCGCGCCTGCACTAACCCCCGGGCACGCGCGCCAGTACGTCACTGCGTCACACTCTGCCCGAGCTCCCGGATGTGGGGAGACGAGAGTGGGCGGGGCTGAGAGGCCAGGGGCCGTACGTCATCCTCAAAATGGCGGCCGGGCCAGGCGCGCGCTACGACAGGTTGCTATGGCCGACACGAGTCAGACAGACACAGCCTGGGGTTACAGTGACTGTATTATCACCCCCTCAAATCATTAATACATTATAATAAAAGCTAATCAAATACATTGTGTTACAATTTAAAGCGTTATTCCAACCACCATCACCACTTGATGTCTGTACACGCGGCGTTTCAGCTTGGTGCGGTATTCGTTTCAGCCTGGGGCGGCGTTGCAGACTGGCGCGGCGTTTGTTTCAGCCTGGTGCAGCGTTTCAGCCTGGGGCGGCATTCGTTTCAGCCTGCAGTGGTGCGGCGTTTCAGCTTGGAGCGGCGTTTTAACCTGGCACAGTGTTTTAGCCTGGCGCGGCGTTCGTTTAAGTCTGGTGCGGCGTTGCAGCCTGGGGCGGCGTTTCAGCTTGGTGCGGCGTTCGTTTCAGTCTGGTGCAGCTTGGTGTAGTGTTTCAGCTTGGAGCGGCGTTTCAGCCTGGAGCGGCTTTTCAGCTTGGCGCAGCGTTCGTTTCAGCCTAGTGCAGCGTTGCAGCTTGGCGCGCTATTCGTTTCAGCCTGCAGTGGTGCAGTGTTTCAGCCTGGGGCGGCGTTTTAGCTTGGAGCCTGGAGCGGCATTGCAGCCTGGCGCGGCGTTTCAGCCTGGCGCGGCGTTTGTTTTAGCCTGGTGCGGCGTTGCAGCCTGGTGGGGCGTTTCAGCCTGGGGCGGCATTCGTTTCAGCCTGGTGCAGCATTGCAGCCTGGAGCGGCGTTTCAGCCTGGGGCGGCGTTCGTTTCAGCCTGGTGTGGCGTTTCAGCCTGGTGCGGCGTTTCAGCTTGGCGCGGCGTTTCAGCCTGGGGCAGCGTTTCAGCCTGGTGCGGCATTTCAGCCTGGTGCAGCGTTGCAGCCTGGAGCGACGTTTCAGCCTGGGGCGGCGTTCGTTTCAGCCTGGGGCGGCGTTTCAGCTTGAAGTGGCGTGTCAGCCTGGAGCGGCTTTTCAGCTTGGAGCGGCTTTGCAGCCTGGTGCGGCGTTTCAGCTTGGAGCCTGTCGCAGCGTTTCAGCTTGGAGCGGCGTTTCAGCTAGAGCTGCGTTTCAGCCTGGCACGGCGTTTCAGCTTGGAGCCTGTCGTGGCATTTCAGCTTGGAGCGGCGTTGCAGCCTGGTGCGGTGTTTCAGCTTGGCGCAGCGTTTCAGCTTGGAGCGGCGTTGCAGCCTGGCATGGTGTTTCAGCTAGAGCGGCGTTTCAGCTTGGAGCAGCGTTGCAGCCTGGTGCGGCGTTTCAGCTTGGCGCAGCATTTCAGCTAGCGCAGCGTTTCAGCTTGGAGCGGCGCTGCAACTTGGCGCGGCGTTGCAGCTTGGTTTGGCACGGCGTTTCAGCTTGGAGCGGCGTTTCAGCCTGGCACGGCGTTTCAGCTTGGAGCGGCTTTGCAGCCTGGCCGGTGTTTCAGCCTGGGGCGGCATTCGTTTCAGCCTGGGGCGGCGTTGCAGACTGGCGCGGCGTTTGTTTCAGCCTGGTGCAGCGTTTCAGCCTGGGGCGGCATTCGTTTCAGCCTGCAGTGGTGCGGCGTTTCAGCTTGGAGCGGCGTTTTAACCTGGCACAGTGTTTTAGCCTGGCGCGGCGTTCGTTTAAGTCTGGTGCGGCGTTGCAGCCTGGGGCGGCGTTTCAGCTTGGTGCGGCGTTCGTTTCAGCCTGGTGCAGCTTGGTGTAGTGTTTCAGCTTGGAGCGGCGTTTCAGCCTGGAGCGGCTTTTCAGCTTGGCGCAGCGTTCGTTTCAGCCTAGTGCAGCGTTGCAGCTTGGCGCGCTATTCGTTTCAGCCTGCAGTGGTGCAGTGGTTCAGCCTGGGGCGGCGTTGCAGCCTGGGTCGGTGTTTTAGCTTGGAGCCTGGAGCGGCATTGCAGCCTGGCGCGGCGTTTCAGCCTGGCGCGGCGTTTGTTTTAGCCTGGTGCGGCGTTGCAGCCTGGTGGGGCGTTTCAGCCTGGGGCGGCATTCGTTTCAGCCTGGTGCAGCATTGCAGCCTGGAGCGGCGTTTCAGCCTGGGGCGGCGTTCGTTTCAGCCTGGTGTGGCGTTTCAGCCTGGTGCGGCGTTTCAGCTTGGCGCGGCGTTTCAGCCTGGGGCAGCGTTTCAGCCTGGTGCGGCATTTCAGCCTGGTGCAGCGTTGCAGCCTGGAGCGGCGTTTCAGCCTGGTGCGGCATTTCAGCCTGGTGCAGCGTTGCAGCCTGGAGCGACGTTTCAGCCTGGGGCGGCGTTCGTTTCAGCCTG